CTGAAGACGTGCCACCTGAAGAAGCCACCATCGAAGAAGAAACTCTGCTCGGTTTTGAGAAGGAAAACAGTGAAGCTCTTGATGAAGTTACTACCACTGATGTGCCTGTTATCGACGATAGAACATTTCCTGATGGGGCAGATGAACCCCATATGAAGCAGAGGCCAACGAGACGGAGTCCAGTACGGAAGAAGATACGTCCCATAAAATTAAGAGACTTTGTTGAATTGCAATTTTGTGATTGTAATTCTGTACATTTAATTAAGTTATTGTTAATTGTTATTGGTTTATTGTAAGTGGCTATTGTTCGGGATGAATACAATACTAAGGAGGGAGCAGTGTTGCGTGAGCAAGGTCATGTGACTAATGTCACGCCACTTCTCTCGAACCTTCGACAACAACTTTTACAACACACGCTACAACTCACAGTGCATACCATTTGCTTGACTCAATTATCTATATCTTCAATCCCACTGGTTTTTCTCGCCAGGCTGATATACTAAAAAAGAGGGCTTCTAGCAAACACTTGGACATTCGCGGGGTTCCGCGATAATTCGAGAAACTTGTTCATTTTCAACAAAAATGAAGATGCCAAAGTTCATTTAATACAATATTTAAATTTTGAATGTATAATTTGAATTCACTACTATAATATTCAATAAAACTTGTTGTTTTGAGGAAAGATCAGGATACATATATAATATATAATCTCCCTATAAAGGGAGATTTTTTTACAACTGTTTTTCTATTTAAAAGATGGACCAATGCAGCATGAAAAATATGTCAATTTTAACGATGCAGTTGCAGAAAGTTGTACTTGAAATTAAAACCAATGAAACAAAGCAGGAACAGCTACTCAAGAAATAGACAAAGTCAAAGCTAAGATTTTGAATCTTTACGATCATTATAAGATACTGTAGAAAAGGTGTAAATCAAATGCAGAGAAGAAACAATTGTTTGTTAGAGAACTACAAAACTACTTTTTCAATGCACACCAAGATGCTCAGAAGATAGAAACTGGCCAGTTCTGCAATCAAGAACAGAAAAAAGATGTCAAATTTCTGAAAGCTTTATAAAAACAGAAGGTGTCTTTGAAAAAAATAAAATAAACTGATGAAAGAGAATTCTTAGATGATGAGAAAAAAAGGCAGTCCAGAACTAAGAATATAATACGTCTTGTAGCAACTGTCAATATAAATCTAGAAAATCCCAATACTGAGCCAGTAAGTTCCACAGACAGTCCAGATACATAGTCTAAAGACAACAATTTTAAATGTCCATCTTACCCTGGTGCTAGGCCTAAGAATAATATATCTATAAGAAAAGGAACTGTTATTTTGGGGCTTCCAAGCAATCCATTCAGAAGTCCAAGATTTAAACAATGCCAGATCACTTAAATTTATCTGCTAGTCAAAGAACAGCACTTATGGCTGCAGTCATTTCAGATGGTGAAACTGATTTGGATAGTATGACTTTCTAATTTAAGTACAATGAGTTCAGTAAAAAAAATTCGATTGAGGGATGCCATTGCTACAAAAAAACCTTATTTATTCCACCGAAGTATGCAACCATGCACTATAAAAGAATCCAAAGCCCAATAACAACACAATAAATATTTATATTATCAAAAAGTACAAGTAAAAGTCTTTAATTGACAAACATTACATCTGACACTTATTTTGTAATTGAAATGTTTGTGTAGTATTTATTTCATTAGTTACAAGTTGTGCATAAAAACCTTTGCAGACAAAACCAAAATTACAGTTGGCTTTATTGATATTTTTCTTGTATTTTACCAATTTTAGATTTAAACTAAACAAATGTTATGTCTATTGGATATTTTTTTAAATCAATAAAAGCTATATTATCTTTAATTTTATTAATCACATAATATCTCCATTGTAGAAACCAATTTAGAGGACAATGTATGAAATAATTAAGTTTGA